GTGCGCGCGATCAAGACTCCGTCCCAGACGCGGTGCCGTGGCGCAAGAGAACCGCGCCGGCGCGTGGAAGGCGCGGTGGCGTCACGCCCCGTGTCGGACGCCGGCCGCGGCGGGCAGTGACTTGCTCTACGTCCGCTGCGAGGGCGAGGAAAAGTACCACATCTCGCTGCTGAACCTCTTCGGTCGGTATCGTGGCTACGAGGGCCTCGCGCCCGACGTCCGCTTGGTGGCCTTTCCGCGGCCTTTCGACAGCTGGTACAGCGTTGCGAACCGAGCGCGGTGGGGTGAGGACGCAGCGCGCGAGAGTCGGCTGCGCTGGCGCCGGGTGGACGATTTCTTCCACATGTGGCACAGCACCGAGTTTTTCTCGGTGCCCAGCGCCGCGCGGCGTGGCCTGTACCCCGCGCTCCCGCCGAACTGGTCGACGTTCGAGGCGCCGGAGTACCTGTGCGTGCCGACGCCGAGCGTCATGGCGTACGTGGCGGCGCATTGGTTGCCGCTCGGCCGATCGGAATCCGCGGAAACGGAGCGAACGCGCGTCTTGGTGCACGCGATCATGCTTTCCGAGTGGGCGGTCTTGGCCTTCCTGTGCTTCTTGCACGCCGCTCGCGAGGGACTGCCGTTCTTCACGAAGTGTCCCGACCCGCGGCTGTTCGCGCGGCGTGAGGAACCGTTCGGTGAGCGCGGCCTGCTCTTCCGCCTCTCGGCGGGGCTCATCGATTTAATCCGCTCGGTCGGTATCGCGGAGATCCTCGAGGGTACGGCGTTTGACGCGGCGTACGCGACACAGCTGTTGGCCTTCACCGAGGGTATGGATTGGAGCGGCCGGCCGGACTTCGCGTGGTTCAGCTGGAACCAGCGGTGTACCCTACCGATGCCCGCCGGAGCCGAGGCAGAGACCGGTGCCGATGGTGGCAGCGCGGCCCCCGGCCCAGCGGACGCGACCGTCGCGGTCGACGTAGACGGCGCAGTCGACACGGTCGACGCGGGTGACACGGGCGGCTTGCTTGCCGATGCCGATATCGCGCCGCCGCGCGATGCGGGAACCGGTGCGGTGAGGAGCGTCGTCGAGACCGCGGTACCGGCCCGCGGCGGGTCCGCTCGCGTGGCCTCGATCCAGAGCGACTCGCCGAAGGGGTTAAGAGAACCCCCCGGTGTCGTGGGAATTTCGGCCCCCAACTCAAGCCCCCCACACATCAGCGTGGTGACCGGTACCGAAGGCGATCATCGTCCCGTTCCGATGCCGCCTCCTCCAGTTCCACAACCGTCCGGCCGGTCTTCCCCGGAGCGCCTCCGTGAGGAGGCCGCGTTCACTGCCCTGCAGTACGCTTGCTCCTTCGAGGGGGCAACAGTTCCTTCGTCGGTTGAGCAGGCGCTGCTGCAGGCGCGCGAGTGGATGCACCAAGCCAAGCAGCTGGAGACGACCGTCGCGGCGCTCCGAGAGGCCTCCACCGCGGCGGAGCGTGAGCGCGTCGAGCATCACGAGAAGCTCCGCGGCGTGCAGGACATCCTCGCGGTCGTCAGCCAACGTCTCGCGGCGCCGCCGATGCCTGCCGCTACGGTCGGGGCCTCGCGCCCCGCGCCCGAAGATGCCGCGGCGGCTCCGCCGGCTAAGCGCACGCGTCGTTCTTGAGCCCCGACCCGTTGGTCGCCCCCTTTCGCGTAGCCCATTAGGGGCTTCGCCCACAGTAAACAGAGCCGACTAGCGGTGTTCCTTGCCTTCTCCTTTTGGCACGTGCGGGCGGTAGTGCACGACGCGCGCGAGCGAGGTCGTCCTGGCGGTTCGGCCATGCGAGGCCGGAAGAAGCGCTACGCGAGCGCGCTTGTCCGTCCTTGGCGCGTACGCCAATATCGGTCGATGAAAGGTTGCGGGAGCCCCTCGGAGGGCTCGTAGGTATCGTCGGAGGCGGCGTACCTGTACCAGCGAACCTTGTACTCGGTGCCGCCGCGGGTCATACGGTGTCCGACGATGCGGTCAACGACGTATTCCGCGCGGGGCGTTATAGTTTGCGCGTCCGATGCGGATGGAATGGCCGAGGCGACAGTGTCCCCCGGCCCGCGTGGCATTTTTGTGACGCGGTCGATGCTCACGCGGTTCTCCACACCGTCCTGCTCGATGAGGACCGTGGTGTCCGTAGCGGAGCTCACGCGAAACGGACCCTCTGTCTTTGGTAGAAGTTTGACAGAGAGCTCGTCCGTTCCGGTCGTACCTTGCGCACGCGTGCGTCGCTCGACGCTTGTCAACGGGCGGGGCGGGCGATCAACGTAGACAAAATCGCCCGCCACAACGACCGGACGGAAGCGGACCTTCTTGTCAAAATCGTCCTTGTATCGCTTTTGCGATGCGGATAATTTCGTCCGAGCGCGGTCGAGAGCGTCGCGAAGCTTGCGCAGCGTGGCGCGCTTGTACTGCACCGGGGTCCGCGGGTCCTCTCGATGGGTCCCCGCGTCCTGCGGCACAGTACCGGGGAGAATCAAACCGGACGGTGGCGGCGTTAACACCAGGTCGAACGGAGTCGTCTCCGTCGACCGGTGGACCTGCGTATTGTACGCGAAGGTCAGCGGTGGCACGTAGTCGTCCCAATCGCGCTGGTGCTCCTCCACGTAGTGCCGGAGGCGTTGCACCAGCGTGCGATTGAACCGTTCGGTCTGCCCATTCGACTG